GAGTAGAGTAGAGTAGAGTAGAGTAGAGTAGAGTAGAGTAGAGTAGAATAGAATAGAATAGAATAGAATAGAATAGAATAGAATAGAATAGAATAGAATAGAATAGAATAGAATAGAACAGAATAGAACAGAATAAGCAGAGCAGAAGAGAGGAGAGGAGAATGTAAATTTAGCAACATTAATTTAGGGCTCAGTTGTGGCCATAACTGTATTACTGCCTACAATTTGAACAGCAGAGAATCTAGGTAGCTCAGGGTTCAACTCGACAGCATGCAGAATTGGGCATGAATTAATGAATTGGGCATAGGATAGTGACAGCAGCAATTGACTTTTGTCTGCCTGGTTTATGTTTTTCTATATTGTATGAACCTAACTAGGTTTTATCTATCACGGTATTGACTCAGGCAAAGGACCACCTCCTTCCTCCTCGGTGATTTGACCCCTTTTCACAGGAGGTGCTAAAAAATTCATTTGAGCTCTTTTTGCTCTATTCTTCAGATGAGCTATTTTTCCAAAATGGGTTATTGCTGAATCTTCCCCCTACACAATGTGGTAGCCAAAATAGGGCAGAGATTGTTTCATCGTTGATCATGACGCGAGAAGACATTAGAAAAGAAGAAACTCTGTTTCTTAGCAATCATAAAAAGAGACAGCTCCTCGCTGTGTGTCCATTATTGGTGTCCACCCCCCATCAGCACCTCTACGCCTACTCAACTCTCAACATGTACAGTACACATGGTTGTGTTTGTGAACCAATGGAACAGCTTGCCTTCTGAAGTTGTGGGAGTTTCGTCACTGGAAGCTTTCAAGAAGAGACTGGACTGCCATCTGTCAGGAATGGTGTAGGGTCTCCTGCTTGGGTGATGGGGTTGGACTGGATGACTTACAAGGTCCCTTCCAACTCTATTAATTTGTTTAAAACCAGGAGATTTGCAAGAAATCATCTGAGCATAATTTGTCTCCTCAGAGTGATAAGCCACCCACCTGGAGATCAGGTAGGTAAGAGGACTAATATCCCATTTAGGACAGTAGATTGAACATGCCAGTTTTCAAAACTTTTCTGCAATTCTGAACCTTTTTTTTTTGCCTTATGTCAGCTTGAAAGAGAGAAAGAAGAAAGGAAGGAGATGGGAAAGGGAAGGAAGGAAAGGAGGGAGAGGGCAGGGTGGGAGAATGAAGGAAAGGAGGAGATGGGAAAGAGGAATGGAAGGATATGGGAATGGAAGGAAGGATATGGGGAAGGAAGGAAGGAAGGAAGGGAGGGAGGAGGGAGGGAGGGAGGAAGGAAGGCCATTTGAAGACTAATCCACTTGTCCAAGCCATTGATTGGGTTTGAATTTTAGAAAGGAAAGGATTTGAACCAACCTTCCGCTTTTAAATTAGGAATCTATTGAAAGAAGGACCAGGTTTTTTTCTGTTTACCTTCACTAACATATCCCACAAAAAGTCCCCAAAGTTTACTAATGTATGCTGTTTCCATCCCTCACACTGACAGTTGCATTCACTGATCTGAATGACCTAGAATTCCAGATGACATTAACATACTGGGCACATTTTTGAGAGGTGCACATTATATTGTTTGCAGTGCCAAAAATGCTATTTTTCTATGCAGTGGAAGGGTCAATTTAGAAGCAATTAGGTATTTCTTGGGCTCAGTTACTGGTTTATTCTGGTGTTTGAAGTTCTCAGGACTTGACCTAATTCAGATTTTACCTTAGCAAGTCAATCTGATTTAGACAACATTGTGATTGCAACACATCATGCAAATATATACATAAACAGAATTCCAAGAGTTAATTCATCCGGTGAATCAATCTGGAAGCATCCAGGTTTATTCCCCTATGGAATCAGACTTTTGAGAACTTTTTAGAATTTCTTTCCAATAAATTACTCCTCCAATTATGCAAATGATTTACTGGAGAATTGGCTGGCATTCTTTCAATGTCTTATAATGGAGATGGATATGCTGGTCAAATAAAATAGTCATAAAATTTGATTTTATTTGAACTGGGGGGCAGTCTTAAAAGTGGGTCATTTCTAGGCACCCCATCTTAATGGTTCTTTGGGATTTTATTGCCTTGCTGTAATTTGGAGAGGATTCAAAAGAGAGAGAAATGAATGCCTAGAACGGTCCCTTCAGAACAGGGGTCTCCAACCTTGGCAACTTTAAGACTTGTGGACTTCAACTCCCAAAGCTGGCTGAGGAATTCTGGGAGTTGAAGTCCACAAGTCTTAAAAGTTGCCAAGGTTGGACACCCCTGCTCCAGAACAGAATGGCAGAGCATGAATCAAATTTTTAAAAAATACATTCAAATACCACATACATTCCCCGCTGTGTCTGCATTGACCTCTTGATCACAATGCCATGGATTTTATTTAGTTTTTTCCAGAAGAAGATATGAGTGTCATTGATTGAGCTTGAAACTTGCCTCCTGAAACGGAGCCTCACAGATATCATGGAAGATATGAATCCATCCAAAACAGAGATTGAGCAATATGTGGGATGTTACCAATGTAATGTATGGATCCAAAGATCCTCAAGAACCCACTTCTATTCTCAACAATCCTTAATAGCACAATGTCATGGAGACTCTCAGTCATCCAAGTCATGGTTGTCCTAGAGGTGCTTTTTCAAGAGGCAACTGGACTTTCTGGTTTTTCTCTGAAGACGTTTCACTTCTTATCCAAGAAGCTTCTTCAGTTCTGACTGAATGGTGGAGAATGGAAGGATTTATATTCCTTGCAACCATCTGGTCATTAGAACTCCCTCTGAGAGTCGTTGAGACTGCAGATCAACCTCCAAGTGGCCTCAACAACTCTCAAAAGAGTACTAATGACCAGATGACTGCAAGGAATATAAATCCTTCCAGTCTCTGCCATTCAGTCACAACTGAAGAAGCTTCCTGGATGAGTAGTGAAACGCCTTCAAAGAAAAACAAAGAAAGTCCAGTTGGCCTCTTGAAAAAGCCCTTTGGGGACATCCTGATAGCCCACATATTTAGAGCTTTGTGGAGTGGATAAAATCATGGTGACAAGGACACCCAACAGTGTTGATTTGCCCATGCCTGTGATATAGACTGAAGTTTGAAACCCTGAATCTTTTTTTTTTTTCAGACTCCCCGAATTCCTGGGTGTGCGTAGGCGTGCGAGGCTCTGGGAAGCAAATCCTATTTTACAGCTGTCTGATTAAAAATTGTGAAATTGTAAGAAACACCTGTGTTTTCCTGTCACATAAAAGATCGAATCATTCCTTTGCAGATAGGGGCGTTCCTCTTTTGCCTGCTTATAATGGCCCATATGATACTCATCTGCAAAAAGGAACTAGGGTGGGGGCGAGATGTTGTTTTCCTCCCTCTCTCCCCCCCTCCCCTTCCCAGTTTCCGTTAATCTTTGCAACAAAAAAAAAGTATATTGCACAAAACTCTTAACACAAGGAGGATCAAGCTCTTCCCAGCTGCCAGTCCAAATATTTATCACACTTCTCTTTGTGAAGTCTTTTGTGCCCAATATCCTCTCAAGTACAAAGGCCTTAATTGTCTTGATTTAAATGAAACTGATTGGGAACAGGGACCCAATGAGACGTGAAGCAAAACAAATTAAAGAGCAAAGAGGCTGTAGGTTTTGGCACAAAAAAAAGCTAAGCTTTGATTTGTTTTTGACTAATGAAAAGCCAAACAACCACGGGAGGGGAGAACATTTTGCTAACTGTGGCTCACTGAGGCTGGTTGGGTCCTTTGATGTTGTCCCATTTTCACTCTGAAGGAGGGACTGTTTTGTTCTGCCTGGATACATTGGAAGAAGCTCCAAAAGCTGGTAGCAATGGAGGGAGGGATGTCCAGACAGGTGTCTTCTCCACCAGAAGCTTCTACGTTCCTTCTCTGGAACACCGAAAGCAATTAATCGCTGTATTGGTCCATGTAACAAATGACTCAGTAACAGAGTAATTTCTTGATTAATATCCATCATCTTTCTTGGGTATATCTTATACATATGTCCGAATATTGTATACTCAATTTGTGTGTGTATATATGTGTATGGATGGATAGATAGATATAAATATATATAAATATAAACAAATATAGACAGATAGATATATAGATACATATGGATGATAGATATAGATAGA